CATCTGAAGTCAACCCTCAGACAAAGGAAACTAATTCATTGCTCAGCAATACAATACAAATATATCAGTAGTCCAAAAATATTCACATCTGGCCATCTCTCCCCATCAGTGCAAACTGACATTACTAGGTCTGTGATATCTAAAAGAGAAAAGCATTAACTTGATCATATTGTAAAGCAACTTTCTTTTCCTGTGGTCGTAACTCCTTAGTTTATTAGATTGGAGAAAATTTTTACTTTTATTTTTCACTGTTTTTGCAACAAAGTCCTGTTTGACTTTGGTTTATAGTTAGTTTCACTTCCAGATTCTCAGAATTGCAATGCTGAAGTTGCCAAAACTTTTAAGTAAGTGCTATTTAACAATTTTCCACTGGAACATTAAAAAAATGGAAACTAATATTGGCCTTTTGGTTTCACAGAGGTTTATTTTTGGACCAATTTTGAGAGAAGTGTCCCTTTAAAACATTTCCGCCTCCTCCACAAATACATTAAAACTATTAATCAACACCAGGTATGCAACTAGTGTAGGAGTTATTATAAATACTTACATCATATACACACACTCATAGAGAAAGGCAGAGCCTGCAGAAACAAGTTCTTGGAGTAAGTGCCTCCAGGAGCAAAGACCTAGGAGAATAAAAAAGTCTTCAGATGTTTGTTACGCTGTTATTGTTGGTATCACCTTGTGTATAGGATGCCTGCCTGCATTATGTAAACGCTTCATTGATAAATCCCTCCTCTACCTCCCTCAGCAAGCTGCCTCAGACAGTTCCTAGCTGAAACAGATGCTGCTATAAATACCCTTGTTTAGCAGTTTTGAATGTAATTTTTCTTTTGTAGAACATACTGAATGCTCTGGTTATCCCTGAACCTGCATCTGTGCTGCAGTTTTACTTTGCAAGACTCTGGGTGCACACAACAGGAAGACGCATGTGTTTTTAAACAATCTCCTACACACAGAGCCAGATGTACGGGGACAGAGTCTACTGCCCACCATCCTTTAAAATCGCAATGGAACTACCTGTAGATTGAGCAGCTATTCATTGTGAGGGTGGCAGAAGCTGGAGGTCACTGCGTGGTCAACAAAGCAGCAGGAAGAAGTTTGCTCAATTTGAAAACTCCATGCAGGGACACTTCTTTCCTACAAGATTGAAATTAAAATGATTATGCAGATGTATTGGCAGTGGTTGGGGCAGCCTAGGGAATGCTCCAGGGCTGTATTTATTTACTTGATTTTATTTTTTAGCACCCAACCTGCGAGCACTTTCATCATGATTAATAGGTCATACAAAAGTTGGGACTGGATGTAAGCAGGAAAAAAAGCCAGTCCCTCCCTTACCAGTAATAATTCATCAACAGACCCACCATCTCATCAGCATATATAACTGACTAGTTAGCCACATATATGGTTTGGTGATAAAATCCAAATCCAATTGCAAAGTTAATAAAAAGCTTTTGTACAGGTTCTATAATGTGTCATGGTCATTTGGTTGCGTACTCAAAATCTTAGGTGACCATACTAAGGAATAGGTGAATCAGATTTCATTTTTACAAGTTCCAGCTGTATTTATTTTAGATAGATTTAATCAGGATAGTTTCCTAGAATGTTTTCCTTATCTTTACCTGTGTGAGCAATATAAAGAGTATTAAATAATGGTCTTTACATATTTCATATCCTGAAAATTGGCTGGTGGGACTTCTTAAATATGTGGTCCATACCTTTTCTAAAAACTTACCAAGATGTGTTTGTGGATCTGAGATTTCAGTTTTTCATAATACAGATCCCTTTAAAGAGAAGTGGAAACACTAATTTCCCTGCCTAATACTTCTACATTCATCCTCCATAGTCTCTCCAACACCAAGACAGTCTTTGCTGTGCATCCTTTATATTGACAAGGAAGTAAACCTCATTTTGTCAAGTTGTGTCAAAGCAGTACCTTTGACCACTGTCTGCATGTATTCCCTTAACCTTTGTCTCTACACTTTGCATGCCCCTTGGGCTGGGACCAAGTTGCCTTTGGAAAATCCTGGATTATTTTGGACGTTACCCAAACCAAGTAATCCCCTCCATCCACAGCTTTGGGTTAAATATGGGCCGCCTATGGATTATGCTCATTCTTAAAAGCAGTCAGATTTATATTTTTGCAGGATGGCAAGTGCTGCAACTCTGGGCCTGATCCCACTGAATTAAATGGAAAGATTCCCATCAACTTCAAAGAGCTTTGAACTAGGCCCTCATTTGGCAATTTATGGCAAATATATTGATTTGTTACACTTTTTTCTGTTAAAATGGCTTCAAAGGACTTTGGCTGGCATGTGGACTGCAGATGCGTGCGTAGGCCAGCTGCATTGGCTATCATGCTGCAAAGCACTGAGAAACAGCTCAGGAAAAAACGTTCAACAGAGCATATCAATAAGATTGAAAGATTCCCTCCTCTCCCAGCACTAGTGGGTATAACAACTGAGTAGCTTGAATGAAACTAAAAGCAGGCTGCAGAATTCTGCCCAGATTCCTCCATTTGCACATGTTCACTAGAGCTTCTCAGGCATGCTGTGCTGGGGTCATAAACCAACTCATGAAATGGAAAGAATTGCAGATTCCACGTAAACACGTGTATGGGAAAAAAAGGTTGAACTTTGGGCCTCCAGTCTTCAACCATGTCTCGAAGGTAAACATTTAAGCCCTTCATATTTTGTCAATACTTCTGAGGTGGAGGAAGAGGAAAACCCAGGTACAAGCTACAGCAAACCTATTTCAAGGGATTGATACAGTTCTTGAGTTTTGTTCCTATATTCCTGTAGGCTGTTGCCAGAACAGGAAGATCCTGGCCAGCAAAGCTGCTCCACACAGGACGATAGCTAACACAGTGGTCCTTCACAAGTTGTTTGCTCAGCCAGTCACAATGAAGGCTGAAGAACCAACTTCGTTTTACCCCAGTGATCCTCAGATGGAGGCTTGGGAGCCACAAGTGGCTCTTTAATACATCGCCTGCCATTCTTTGCAGCACATATTAAAACCACTGATTTAATTATTAACCAATCGAAAATATTAACCAATCAGGATGCTTTTACTATATTATCAACCAATTGTAGAATACTTGGTCAGTCATTTTAATACTGTGGCTCTTTTGGGTAACGTTGATTGCTAATTTGGCTCCTGAACATCTGAGGTCTGAGTATCATGGCTGTACAGTAACATTTTTATTGCTCTCCCTAGGTGAATATCACCAGCAGCGGTGCTAGACTATATTGGTCACAAGCATTTTTACTTGTTGACTAACCCTGCAGATCTAGAGGACATGGTGGCTAAATTGCCGGTGGTCAGCCCACATCAGTGCTCCCAACAGGGGACATGCACTGAGGAGAGATTGAGACAGACTAGTGTAGGACCTGAACAGGAAGTTTCTCCTATCCTTTCACATGTGCATGTGTCATTACAACATATTGCAAATGTTAGGGTAAGAAAAATTAGTCAACTTGGTCATGTAACTGTCCGCAAACCAGTCTTGCTATTTTTAAAAGAAATGAGCAGAGTGGAATTAGACTTATGGCAAAGTTGGGAAACTTTATTAAAAACACACACACACCAAAAAACTCAACAACTAAGTAGTACTAAATACATCAACCCAATAGCTACTAGGCTGCAGGCTGGGCAAACTGCTGGATTATTCTTGTGTTTATTAATCCTGGGAGTGCAGTGTCCCTAGAATTGTTTTTTATTAAGGGGAAGCACCCAGGGTCACACCTCCCAGTATCTTCCTATATTTGCTCAGCATCTGCTTTGCACTATGAGCAGAACACTTTGTATGGTCCTATATGCATACATTGGGCTGAAGTTTGCAGAGAAGTGCCCAGCCATTAAAAATGGATTCACTTGCTCCTTGGGCAGAGCCTTTAAGGATGGAAGAACCTCTTTGAGGTGTTCCAATGAATGTCAGGGAGCCAGGATATTAGCCCATGCCTCACCTTTTTCATAATTCTTTATGGACCAATAGCCTACTGTTGTGTTGGTCTATGCAAAGACTCAGTTCAGTATTAAGATTATGGTGTAAGGACAGAGGTATTAGATCTATGAAATGAGTAGGGTGGCTTCATTTGGAGCCATTCCAATCCATTGGCTACAAAAAATATCTTAGAAAAAAGAGGATTTATAATAGGGACCAGAGTAACCCCAATGAGTTAACTTCTAAAAGTAACTGAGAAACCAAGGCAAGGCCATAGATTCTAGTTCAGTTAAAAGGCTGTCAGGCCCCATCCATAACAACCAGCCAAACTGAGTTTAAAGCATATCACTCTAAACAGCTGACTGTAGCTTCCAAATGTTTATACAGAGGACGTTCATGTTGACTGTGTTTGACATTCTTAAGTTGTGCAACAATCTAACAGTTTGGCCTGTACGTTTGGCTTTCTGTACTTCTCCACCATACTCTCCAAAAATAATCTGTTCCCTCCGCCTGGCAATTCTGTTTTCCAAACCAGCTTGAATCGTACCATCTGTCACAAGTTCTGAAGAGGATTATTCCAACGAAGTTTAAAGGTTTCAAAATGGCAACTGGAGAGAAGATCTCTCTTGCTCATCCACTAAAGTCTGCCTTGATTACTTTGATGTAACAACACTTGAAAGCTCCTATTCTTTGAAACTAATTTAAACACATTGAATTGTTGAAAGATTAAAAACCACAGTCAGCTAATTACACTCACTCTCATCTCTTATTCAGCAAATGAATCACTTTTCATTACCACTTAGCTGAAGTACATGAATTTCTGCCTAATTAGAAATGTTGTAGATGGAGCATTAGCAAGGCTGGAGTGGGTCAGGATATCTTGCCTGCTTCATTTTTAATTCCTAACAGTAGAGCCAGATAGGAAAGGCTGGAGATAAGAAGTCATTAAACAAATTTAAATTATTTATAAAAATTACTTTGCCCAAATTATAATTATTTTTTTTCCCAAACGCTCTTATAAACGTCAAATGGAATGAAAGGAAAAGCAGCCCAACACTGATTTTAATGACCATTTTAATGTTATGTATAACAGAACATTGTGCATACAATGGAAACAAAGTTTTATCAATTTAATAATAAAAAAGAAATCCAACATAAGAAAGGGGAGGTAATAAATTTCATACCTATAATATAGTGCTTATTCTCAATAATACTCCCAGCTTGTGAGTATAACCATGTCTTTGTATTCCAGACTCTAGAATCATGATTCATGTGTGAACTTAAAATGCAGAATTACAGCAGGAAAACAAAACCTTAATTAATTTCCTTTATTTTCATTAAATCAATAAAATCTTTGACTGCTACAGGTTTCCTTTAATATATATGTATTATATATATTTAACTCCTTTCTATTGGATTCCACCACTGCTAATGCCATATTTACACCAAAAAGTCACCAAATGTTGTATTAAATCTAAAATGCAATGCTGTTGGATTGACAAGGGTTAGAGATTTATATTAACTTAAAAGAATGTAGTTACCTTGTTACTTTTCTTTTGTAAAGAATTTTTTTTTTTTGCCTTTTGACTGCTGCTGACACTGTAAACCAGTGGCTCCTAGGGTGTATGTGGCATGAAGTTGCCACTGAAATAGAACTGCAAAAAGTGTATATATGCTGGGAGTTTTCTGAAAGGAAACCATAAAGCAGCTCTGGATGAAATCTCTCCCAATTCAGCACTGGGTATTAATTATATCAGTAAAGGTGTGAAAAGCCCCTAAACCTATTAATGACCAAATTGCTTAAAGAGGTTTTTACAATAAAAATTTGAATATTATAGCAGTGTTGCTGGAACATCAGCAAAAGTGTGTGTGTGTGTGTATATATATATATATATACACACACACACACACACACATACACACACACACACACACATTCCAGGTCCCTTTGAATTAGCCATAAGCACATATGTAAGCCTTTTTTTGGACAAAAATATATATTCTTATAAAAAACTGATCATTGTACTTGAGTGACTTCAAATATGGACTCAGAGTGGTAGTAAAAGGAATGGCTTCAATTATGACAAAGCGATTCAGGGAGAGAAAAATCAAGCTCTTCAAGAAAAAAAAGAAAAGTATAAAATTAGATTCAAACAGATTTACCCAACACCCATTCCAGTCTCCCCACAAGTTTCAATGTTAAAATTGGTTCTTCCATCTAGAAAGGCTTTTGATGGTCTTGCTACAAAACAATGGCCTCTTAATTGCAAAGTCATCCAATTGATTCATCAGAAGAACCTTTCGTCTCCCCAGAGCTTGAATGCTAGGTGTTTCAAGCTTTTACAAAATAGCCTTTTGGTTCTTTATGTAGGTTCATTTTAATTAACTGATAAAAGGAAAAAGGTATTGATCAGTGTTCTCCATCCCTCCCCCAGCTCTATCTGTGCAGCTAAAAATCCTTCATTCACTCTGACCAATTCTTTACAATCTTTATTTGCTAAAATTGGCAAAATTTGCAAAGGCATCTTGCTTGGGTTGCACAGTTCCAGGAGTCATAGCAGAGGTCATAGTTATATTGGGTACCCCCATGCCCACTGTGCCTGTCAAACCCATTCCAGCAGCTGGCATCCCCATGTTCACATTCATTCCCATTATTCCCTGGTTCATCATAGGTGTGTTTCCCAAGGAGGTCATACCCATTGTACCCGTCATAACACTGGGCATCCCCATTCCCACTGGAATGGGCCCTCCCATCAATGAACTTGTTGGGGGTCGAACAGGCATCACGTTGGACTGGGAGTTGAGGCTCACAGCTGCAAAATTTTGAGTCATCACATTCACAGGTTGTTGCATATCTGCAGAAAAATAAAATACAACAGCCTTTAATTTAATCAATATCCTAGGGTTGAACATGGTGAGTTACAATCTACTTTTAGAACTATATTGTGACTTCACAGTGAACAAAGACAAGGACAAAAGTTATATTTATGTTCTCTAGCCAGTTAGCCTACAAAAAATAATTAATTTCCACATCTCTTCCTTCTTCAGTTAAAGTTCAGAAAAGTCTAACAGTTTTACAATATGTCTTACACCCAGGTTAACTATTGCTAACAAATTGAGCTCTGAGGTCAGATAGTTGATACCATCCATAGGAAGAGCTTAAGAGATGAGGGAGACCTAATGTGAAGATTTGGGAATGAAGCAAGCCTCTGCAGTTAGAGGCTTGGCTTCACAGCCCTGAAACATTCCCAGGCTCATTCTTCTGGATCATGTTACGGTAACAGAGCTGCCAATGGTTAGAGGCAGTGTAGCAGATGAAAAATGGGATTATGAATAAAATTAAGAGGAAAAGGTGATCTAGTAAAGGGGTCTTTTTTTTTTTTTTTAAAGACACATTGGGAACATCTGTATAGCAGGTCATGCCAGTGAAGTATTATTAAATCAATGTGATCACTTACTCTGTTGCTGAATCATTGTATTAAGCGATGGCTGCTGAGGTTTAGAAGGCTGCATACCAGGTACTAAATTGTCCAAACTGATATTTACACTGGGATCTGACCAAGTGGATGGTAGAGTTTTGCTGGCATTTTTTTGGACCATCTCTGTACTCTGATTATAAAGAGGACTGGGCTTCTGCAGCATAGTGTTAACGTTCTGCAAAGGCTAGAAACAAAAGAAACATTTTTTTTTAAAATGATACCATTCATTCCTTAACATTTACTACTGCTGTGTCTAAGAAATAAACAGTTCCATCACATCATCATAAAGTACAACAAATGGTTGTTTATGTTTGCATATGAGAAGTTAAAAAGCCGAAGAGAAATGTCATCAGTTTTTATGAGACAAAGAGTTCATATAAAGAGTTCATCTCTTTCAAAGTAGTTTCCCCATCAGTTGGTATCTTGTTGGAAATGATCAGGATGGTATTTCATATGTTAGCACTAAGCATTTTGCATCAGTGCATTGTGTCACAAAATCAGAGTTGCCTGGTGTCTCCCAGACCAGGAGCCCATTCTATTCTGGGCTTTTTGAAATGCATTTGTAGGTTTTTTGCACAAGAGTCAATGTGCTTTGGTTTCAACAGCCAATTACTTTCCACTGGAGTAACCCCTCTGTGCGTCAGGGCAACACACAGAAGAGGGTGAGGACTGGTCCACCAGTTACCTGACAATGTAGGCTGTGCACATATGCTATTGGGTTTTTTCATGTTCGAACTTTAAAACCTTCCCTCCCCCAAAAAGGATAACAGAGCATCTCAGATAGAGTGACCGAGTGATAAAGAAAGCATCTGAGAGCTACAGGTAACAAGAAGGTTTAAGCTAAAATAAGACAAAAACATTCTAGAACCTTTTCTTCACAGAGGAACCAGTCATTAAGGGATTGAGTAACAACAGCATACCTGTGACCTTGACATGGGTAGACCGATGCCCACCGCACTAGAGCTCATCATAGCAAAATTCATGCTTTGCGAAGAAGCCATGGTTGCTTGAGAGGAACCCATCAAATCAAAGAGGTCAGCAGAATTTGAGGCAGCTGGAGGATGGCCAAGAGCTGGCTGTGAGCTACCAAAGAGCTCTACAGTTGGCTGGGCAGTGCCTCCGAAGAGCTCTCCTGCTGAAGCACTGGGACATGGAGAGGCTTGGTTGAAGGCACTCCAGTCTCCGAAGTCTCCGTTCCCACTTGCTGTTGTACCTGGGGGTGAGGGAAGGAAGGTAAAAGATTTTGAAAGGCACAGAAAAACATCACATTCTCTGAACTGAAACAAATGAGACCTGATTTGTGTCCGTCCAGATTAACATCTGCAGGTAGAATCTCCATCTGGACATCATTCCTTCTCATGAATATTCCAACAGTTTTAACAAGGTAGCAAAGGAAATATGAAACACCCATGCACAGACAAAAAAATCACATCTGATAACATGTCACCTATGGACCTGGGTGAGTGGGACACAGGTTTCCTTCAACTAAGTTTGCAGCATCCAAATACTTCTAAACAGACGCTGGAAAAGTAGATTTGAGGTTCTGTCAAAAGCAGAGCTAGAAGTTTAAGAATCAAAACTTGCCAGTACTTTAATCCAATGCTCTGATCTTCTCAATAGAGCCATGATCCCATCTAATGGGTATCATCCAGTCATTGCACATGAGAGGCACAATTCCACTGTCATAGTAAAGCATACAAGAAAACAGCCATTTGTTCAAAACTTTTTAATTACATATAATTAATAGTTTTTGCACAACATAGGAACATAGTGACACTAAGTGGGATACCAATAAAACCAAGAGCTTTCGAAACAGATTACCAGAGGGTCCTTATCTTACTCTGTTGCCTGCTAACATCGTAAGTAATATTTCCCCCGGGCTATGAGAATACATGATGCTTTCATATGTACCGGTTTCAGATCACATGCCCCAATGCCTACATACAGACCAGCGAGGCCAGGATATGACAGGATCATTACTTCCATTTCCTTACCTTTCTAAGGATCAGTCAAACCACTGACATCAAAATAAGTTTCCTTCACTTACAGGAAAAAAGTTACAAGAAACATCACGGGTAACATTTTATAGTGAAAGTTATTTAAAATATCCCAAAAGCTGTGGTGTTTTTTGTGGTTTTGTTTTTAAATGGCCACAATCTTCTAGAGTTTTTTTTTTTTTTTTGGGGAGGGGGCATTGCATAGGTCAGATTTTTGGTTATGTGGCTAATGTTTTACAGGTCTGGATGTAGTAGATGAATATCATTCTTCTGGCACATGAAATGCACAGGACTGCTTTATTTGCTACATGGATGCACAGCTTAGAGGGAACATTTCCACCATGCATAAGAATTATGATATTCCCCCGTAGGATTGTACCTCATGATGAAGTTCTCACTCCCAGCTAGGCCACAAGCAATATCCCTGCAGTAGGAAAAGAGCTCTGAACTCTAATGAATGATTAAATCAACTCCACTTCCCCTTGCAAGAGCAAAGGAAGAGACTCTGATTGAGATTTCACGGATTTCAAAGTTACTAGACCTATGCACCTGGCTAGGTGTCCCACCCACACACCTGGCTATTTCCTAGAGCTGTATTTTGTCTAGTCAAAACCAAGGGCAATAATATTTTACACTCCGTGTAAATGCTTCAACACCTGTGTGATCAAACCTGGTTTTAATTACCTTTACCTTCACTCGTGTGTTAAATTTTAAGTAATGGAAAAGGGGGCAGGAGGAAAGAAGCGAGTTAGTTTACAAAATCCAAGCACTACCAGCAGCTTTAATGCAAGAAATGGACTAATTGTCATTAGCTCAGGGCCTTACCAGAACGTTTTGCTTTCATTTCCCTTACAAAAGGGACCGTATTGGAGTATTTCAATTAGTACTGCATATTAAAGATTTAAACCCACTTTAAAGTATTCCTGATGGACAAGTAAACGCTGAATGTGCTGATTCTATGTGTACTGCATGCACAGCTCTGAACACAAAATAAGAAAAAGTGGGGTAAGAGGAGAAGGTTTTGCCCCCCTTTTAGGGAACTTGATCAAAGATGATTAATCCGGGAAGAAAGGATTACTAGAGGGGCTTATATTGTTAGAGAATGATTAATTATTTCACAAGACTCCTGGCCCCTTGCATAATGGTGATCGGAATAGATTAATCATGTTAATGCAGATAAAGGATTGTGTCATTTAGGCTGTATTCATACACAAATTATTTGCATAGTAGGCAGCTTTATACTTGTAAAAAAGAACTTTATTTTGAATAAGTATCACAAGTAAGGAAGCCTGTACAATTAGGACAGTGCTTTTTTTTCCTGCCGGTTGAAATATTAAAGGTGTGTTAACCCACAGATGCCCAATACAGCTTTCCTAAATGTAGCAAATAATGCAAAAAGATTCCCAGGTGCTGATCTGCAGCCAATTTGCCAAGAGATTTACTAATCTGACACAGAAATGTCTTCATTCCTTCTGAATTTACTCCTATACCCGTAGCTGATGCACAACTCCCAACTACCTCAATAAAAGAATTAAACCCTTTTTTATTGTAGCTCCATACTTTTTGGTCAACCGCAAATACATGTATTTAGCAACATTGTTAAGTTGGCTCCTGCAAGTGGCCGAGCACCCTCAACTCCTACTGGAAGGCTGAGCTCAGAAAAACAGAAGTTAAGAAAAAAGAGATTTTAAGTGGTCAGCTCCAACACACTTTGCTAGCATAAGACTGTTCACTCTGGTTTGCTTACTGCTACTTTGTTCAGAATAGTTTTAAGCACCACAAGCGACGTGGGCTCTATTTCCCTTGAGAAACCACTCCCCAGCGTGATATTTCGTTATGGATACATTCTCCTTGTTAGAAGGAAGAGCTGTTCTCTCTTACTCCTAGATATATTTCTTGTGCCCCTATAAACAGTTCCTTCCCCTCCTTGGTGTTCATATCTTTCCAATACTTGTTTACAAGTTGTCATTTAGCTAAGCTATGAAAGACCATCAATCGGTTTTAGCCCACGAATATGCATAAGCATCTTCCACTGAAGACAATGAAGTTATGCCAGAGTACTGAGGGCATAACTTGGCCTCATGTCAGTCCTTCCAGGTGTAACTCCTATTCCACCTGGAGATTTTGAAATCTTGATAGTATCCTCCTTGACATCCATCAAAGCCAATATACCTTTGTCTCTCCATTTATATTATACAAATGTTTTGTTAATCTTGGAAGACAAGTGGGATTTTGAGTATCTTTAGGGATTATCATTCGTCCTGCACAGGTGGACTGTTATTCCTCATTGCATATGAGCTTAAATTTTTGGTTTTATTTGTTAGACTTTTATAGGTGAATTGTTTATGGGAGTGTCTGGGGAGGTGGGGTTATCCTGAGGTTAAATTCCAATTTGCCAATGTAGTACTCAGTCTGAGCTTTGGGCTATGTCAAATATTCTATTGTTATTTTCCCCCAGAATTTCCAACATACTAAAATCCCTTTGTATGTGTCCTCATGGACATTCACAAGCCTCCCAACTAAGTATTCTCTCATATTCCAGATTAATAGAGTTGCTATGATACGCCAGTCCTAGAAAGGATCCCTGAAGCCAGTGTTCCCTCTAATTTTTCCCACACATGTGTGGAATGAATTTTGTTATGTGCACCAATATGGAGGTGACGTGTGACACATTACCTCCACATTGGTGCACATAACAAAATTCATGTGGTGGGGGTGGGGCCAAGGGGTTCGGAGTGTGGGAGGGTGAGGGCTCTAGCTGGGATTACAGGCTCCTGGGAGGGGCCAGGGATGAGGGGCTCAGGGCTGGGGCAGAGGGTTAAGATGCAAGGGCGGGGGAGGGAGGGCTCCGGCATTCAGGGTGCAGGCTGCCCTGGAGCTATGGCAGGGAGAGAAGACTCCTCCTAGCTCTCTATCCCTGCAGCAGGTCTGGGGCCACAGGGGAGGCGCCTATCCCCCAGCAGGTCTGGCTGTGGGTGTGTGTGCGCCTCTCCCCTGGCCGCAGCAGGTCTGGGGCTGGAGGAGAGGCATCTCTCCCTGCCGTGGCCCAGAGCGGCTGCGTGGCCACGCAGCTTAGAGGGAACTTAGCCTGCAACACCGCTGAACAGTTTGATACATTGTTGTTTGTCATTACCATGTGTTTAGGGCCCTTCAATCACTTTTCAGTCCGTGGCTGTGCTCACAGTCAAGCAATAGAAATTTGTTTTTGAAGACAGACTATCAAATACTTTTCTGAAATACTGCTGTCCCACTCAGGCAATTTTTTTTAGAGTCCTTGCTTGTATCTGAAAAAAGTTTGTGAACTTTTGACTGGAAAGGTCAGGAGAAAGGCTGCCTTTTCTCAGAGAAAAAAGTTTGTCAGATGATCTTACATAAGGCATTAGAACATTTTGATGAACAGTGATTAGCTGTATCAGTTAGCGATTTGTTCTATCAATAACAGCCAAGAAAGCATGAAGAGTTCTCCAATGATTTTGGAAACACAAATACGGTCAGTGGGAGCACTCAGCATACCACTAAGACTCCTATTAAAAAAGCTCCCCCCTCCCCATTTCCAAATATTAGAAACACCATGTTTTTACTGTGGAGTTTTTTCTGATGTTTAATATGTGTTTCACTTGGCACGCTACACCCACAAAACTTGGAAGTGTTGAATACCTTGAGTAAGTTTTATTGTCTTGATTTTCCACCCTAAAAGCCACATCTTATTTTGTTATGGTTCTAGCGAGACCATAATTCCAAATGTCAATTTGTAAGGAATTCTACTTTCACTAAAACAAAGTTATGCCTGAAGTTCCCACTGGTACAGTGTTTTATGAAATAAGGCCCTCACAAATTTCAGAATCAACTACATCTGCTATTGCCAAGAAGTGGGGTTCTCGCTTTCTGTCTGCAACATACCACAGCTGTGTTTTCATGGACTATTTAAGTACTTAAACCTTATGCAAATACAAAGATGAAATTTAAATACTGATTTGTGACATCCACAAACTCTCCTCTAAGCCACCTGACATCCAGGATGGACAATGATATTAAAAGCAACTTGGGAATCTGAATCACTTTGAAATGAATGAAGAGGGAGGGTAAAGACTCATCTAAATTTCCGTTATTAGCCTCCATTTTTTCTGACTATTTATGTACTATTTTTCCTCACTCCCTGTCTCCTTCTGATGGAAGTGACTATGAAGTCTGCCAATTTCCTCTAAGATATCTTCTGAATTTATAGCAACATTGCTAAGGGATGCTTCTCAGCAATGCAGCGTGCATCGAATAAGGCAAAATAGTGTTCTAAACCATACCCATTAAAGGACTACAGAAGAATCATTTATCAAAACCAGAAAGCTGTCCTTTATTTATCCTCAACTGTGTGAAAATACCCATAAGAGACCCTAAAAGTTATCAAGCACCACTGAGGTGAGGCATGTGGCTTTCTTGGTCAAACTATACAAACACAAACCAGCCCCAGTAAAGGGAACTGACTGCCAATAATGCCACAAAAAGGAAAATGGCTTCATTCCCTTCTCCTCATCCCTAATGGCAGCTTTTCAGTCAGTAAATTATCCTACCTTGTGGTGAGGGGAAACTTGCTGAGGCAGCAGCAGAGCCAAAGTCAGCGAATCCTCCAAATGGGTCAGTCGATCCACCTAGATATGAGAGGAATCACAGTGTTCTTACAGGATTGTGGAGAGATACCCTGCTCAATGAACTTGACAAGGGCTTTCTGTAAGCTGCTTTCAGGCGTTTCATTTTATTTTTAAACCTCTTGCATTTGGCAGTCAGAGCTTGTTGATTCTGTCGTATGTCTGTACCATTTTTTGTGGCTTTATTACCACCACCACTCTGTATTTATATGAACCTAGACAAATTGGATTCTTCTTGCCTATGCTGCAGATCTAGCTGATTGTGCTTTGCCATATAGGTGGTGGGGAAAACAATAAAGATGCAAGTTCTGTTTCACAATTCATTCTAAAATAGTAATTTATAAACCGCAATGAAGCTTGAGAGATCAAACTGGCAGGAGATGGTGCTGGTATGGTATAAACAACTAAGTAATGGGAGGATTACAAAATTAAAACTTGAGAAGCAAAAAATATCAAAATAAATACTTTTTGTTACTGGAGGAATCCTTAATTTATTATGCTGCTTACCATGAAAAATTAAGTCTTCTTATATTTAGTTTTTATGTTTCTTAAAGCATGAATGATTCTGCAATGATCTTGGTATCAAGATTTCAAGGACAAAGCTTGCATTGGTGTTCATTTTTTATAAGTTTGCTTTCTCTCTAGAGCAACAACATTGAAGTCCCAGCCATGCATTTGTAAGCTACCAGATAAATTATTAACTTTTGAATACAGCATTGTAACTATTTTTGATTAAAGCATATTCAACCCAAACTAGAAAGAAAAGGAAAAAAGCTCTAATAATTATATTTGGGACAATAGAATAGGCAGAAGGCTAACTGCTTAGTCCAAAACACACTTTGCTTTACAGTGTAGTTTTGATCACTTCTTTCCCCTACAGCTTTTAAGTGGCTATTCTAATGGCCTAAAAGTACCAAAAAGTTGACCTTATTTTTGTTTGTCCTTAAAGATTTCACCTCTGAACAGTCACACCCTGAGAAGTAGCAGCAGCAGTTCAATTATTGTGCTTTTAGTGTTATGCGTACATTATATAGGTTACATCACAGCTGCTTAGCCTGCAGTGCTTAGAAACTAGCCAGGTGGGACTGGAACATCTGTGCTGCACTCAAACACCACCAGGGACAGCTTCCAACATCTGGTGCCATTTCTGAATTGTCTTATCGCTGCAAGACATTCTGCCCCATCTGCTACTCTCAACTGGGTTAATTAAACTAGAACTATCTCCTTTATAATAAACGGCTAGCAGTAATAAAAGGAACAATTCACTTTCTAATACATGTGTACTTGTATTTTTTTTTCAATTTTTTTTTATTGTAGTCAATATCAGGAAGGCATGACTGTTTTTCAAAGGGGATATGGTCTCTACCTGCAGAATGTGTATGATTTGATATAAAGCAGCAAATAAAGAGAAAGGGAAGGCCATGCGTCTCTGAATTCCCACAGAAGGTTAATTCCATTGTAATTCCTGTACCACTCTTTTTAGAAAAGAGACAGGAAATTTCAGTCGGATGATGATGCTGTCCGAACAAATGCAGTAGGATTTCTATTGAACGAATTTATATAAAACTATTTGTTTAGTCTGTTGTATTTTGATATAAAAACCTTGCATTGGATATAGTGTAAACGTGGGAAGGAGGCGGCATGAGCCAGTCAAATATCAGAGTCAGAAACTAAGTGAGAAGATCAAACTTAGTGGGTCTTCTGCAAAGGAAACACTTTAATAATAATACCTCATTTGCTTCCTGTTAAGGAAAGTGAAGATTTGATCTTTTTGTATACAGAACATACAATGCAAGTTCTGTATTCTCCCATGTCAAACCACCTCAAGATCAGCTGCTTTCCTGACAAGCATAAAGACATAACCCAGAGCCACAGCACTGACTAACCCCCTCACTTTGAACCCAAAAGATGTAAGGGATTTCTGAATATTCTTCAGGTCTTTTGTCTCAATGCTCATTCCTGCCAAGTTTCTCTCTCTCATGTGCCTGTTTCATTTTCAGATTGAACACTAAGCTCAAGAGGAAAGCAGCAGAACCTAGACAGATAGCAACAAAAGCTGCTCTCAATGGAGGAAGCCATTGGCCTAGAATTAAACCGAGTCTCCAATAATCCGGGCACTGTCTTGTTGGTGTGACTTCTCTATGCAAGTCTGTCTTTACACCGTCTGTAAACAGGATGTAACTTACTTGGGCAACTTTAGTAATTTGTAAATCTCAAATTTCACCATCCCTTTCCTGTACTGTAAAACTTGCTCAGTGTTCCCGCATCTCAGGAGAAACAATTACAGCACCTACTACACTGAAAAATACATATAGATGAAGAGTTGTTTAGCAAATGCCTCCACAGATCCTTGAACTCATAGTATTTCCCTGCCAATTTCTTTAAAGGGGAGATCAAAGGCTGCTTTTGACCCCTCCACTATGTCTTGTGACCCAGGAAATGTTCCCACACCCTGTGCTGCAAGGAACATATTGGTCATCACAAGCGACCTGCATGTGAAGGACAGTGCTAATCTTCACAACATGAGCTATCCTCCAAGATTCCCACAGGAGATCTGTCGCTATAAATGAACTCTTTCCATCTGCCTTCACAGGGCAGCAAGGAGATTATTTACAATGACCAGCTGGTAATATGCCTCTTCTCAATACCACTCCTCAATGCTGCTGAAGAAGGGAAAAATTGGTGTATCACTGTAGAGCAACAAAAAGAATCAGAAGGTCAGATGTGCTCAAATGTGGAGAGCTCCATTTGTTTGAAAAGCAAGGAGTCAGTTTAAAAGTGAAAAATTCCTCAGTTCAGAATTTTTTAAAAACAACTCTCTCTATATATAAATAAATGGGAGATTATACATATACAGTGTGTGCTTGTGTATTTTTTATATATCTCCCATTAAAACTGGATTTAAAAGGGAAAGAATAAAGCGTTACAAAATAGGCTTTTTACAAAAAAACCTGACAGAGGGTATTTCCAAGGATAAAGGGGCAAGGTGGAAGACAATGTGGATTCTGCATCTGGAACATATCAGAATGGCCACAGATCTTAGCATTTCCAAAATGCATGCCTCACCTCATTTACCTTTCCCTCAATAAAGGCAAATAAAAGTTAATGTATGAAAACTTTAAAGATCTCTGGGAAGCGGCAAGGAGAGAAACTTAAGACAGATACTAATTTATTATTTATTTTAAACTAGGTTGTCTGGTGAGAACTATGGGTGCTCTTTCTACCCAGCATCACTGCTTTGTCACCCATACTATTTTCAAGATCACACCATTACTGCACAAGTAGTATCTCAGATATTTATCACATTTGACAGTTATTTCATGAATGCGTAACATGTCTAAACTAAACAAGTTTGCACTCTTTTGATAAGTGACATTGTGCAGTGCAGCAGCATTGAGGTTGTGCCACATTGTTCCTGGCTGCTAAAAGTGTAATCCTTTACTGAATTTTCATGCACTTATGGATTCATAAATAACCCACAAAGTTAGGAATTAAATACATTTTAAGTTTTATGTAAATCTTATACTATTGTATCTAGTTAATGATTATGCATCATCCACAAAGCTATTAGCCTTTGGTTTGGGGCAAAACTAGGAAGCATGGCCTTAAAAAAAAAAAAACGTATCATATAAAAGAGTAACAAGTTATTTGAAAAATTGTAAATTTGTTTTGATCAATACAACTGGAAAAGCTGCAATCAATTCACAGAATTTAAATATTATAACCCAACCTGCTATGGGGAGGACGAGGCTCATTCAGCACCACTATAAGCTACTACAAATACTACAAGGAAAGAAGCACTACCAAGGTGCCCCATGTTCCACAGAAACAGTAGCTTGTGTTAATTAGTAAAATTTCTGTTTGCAACTGAGAGAGAAACCTTCTCTCAAAGGTTTCTTGCCAACTAAAAGGGTCACACTGGTGCTTAATTCTCTGTTAAAATTGATCTTGATACAGAGGAAAAAATTACATCCAGCCATTTGACCACCTGAATCCTCCTCCAGTTAACTCTTCTTTGATTGTCCCATTAAAACACCCTAGATACATGACAAACTCCCTTTAATAGTTTATGATCCACTGTTTAAACTGTGGCTGGCATGAAGGTCTGTAGCATAACATTTTTTAAAAAACATTATATTCGCTCTCTCACACCCAACCCAGTCTTGTACTTTTGTAGGCAAGTCACTGAAATCTAAAAGCTTGTCTAAAAGAGTTACTGTGATTTCATAGTTTAGTGCTAGTGTGGACATGAGTGAACTTAAATTTCAGTTTAGTATTTAGAGAATAATTCACCATAAATTAATTGAACAGAAATGTAACTTCAGAGTGAGTTTTTTGGCATTAGGGTTGGGGTTATCCAGGAGTCATGAGAAGATAAAAGAAATGAGTTTGCTTTTGCTGTATACATTAGATGTGGCTAGTGAATGGAGGTCATCCATTTCTATAGCTGCCTATCCCTTAACTTGTAACATGAGAAACTTAAAGCTGACTGGATTGTGCTTGCTTTTAGAATTAATTATAAATAACTCTGCATTATAATCCATGCAGTTTCTGACAGACTGATTTATTGGCTAATCTTTATGATTTGCTAAGGTTATTATTAATCCTATGTACAGTAAAAGCAGTGTTATCTAGCACTTTACCAACCGGACAGTTTTATAAACCAGCATTTCTGATCTTCATTGAAAGTCCGGTTTATAGTCCGGTTGGCACTGGGTCATCAGGCTCCCTACGTGGCTCAGCCTGGCTCCCCAGAAGCGGCGACATGTCCCTGCTGCTCCTAGGCAGAGGCGCAGCTAGGCATCTCTGCACACTGCTCTGGCCCTGCCCCAAGCGCTGGCTCCGCAGCTCCTGTTGGCAGGGAACGGTGGCCAATGGAAGCTGAGGGGGTGGCGCTTGCGGGGGAGGCAGTCTGCAGAGCTATCTAGCTGTGTCTCTGCCTAGGAGCAGCAGGGACATGTTGCCACTTGAGGGGAGCTGCCCAAGGTGAGTGCCACCTGGATCCGGCACGCCAACTGCTGCCCCGAGCCCTCTCCCTCACCCAAAGTCCCTCCCAGAGCACATGCCCCATACCCCCTCCTGTGCCCCATACCTCCTCCTGTGCCCCAACACCCAGCCCCATGCCCCCTCCCACACCCAAACTCCCTCCCTCTTAGTTAACTGGATTTTTTCATTTACTGGCACCCCCCATTCTCCCAACATGCCAGATAAAGCTTTTACTGTAATATGGTAATTTGTGTGCAGTTATAAACTTATACACAGTAGTCCATTTTTTGAGTACTTGAAACATTTTGCTTTGCTTTTCACCATTTTTCCGTTTCCCTTTATCCTTACAATATTAAAGCCCACAAGCTTGTGCACAGACAGTCACAATTAAACAGATCATAGATTAAGGATAAAGATATATACCTGTTGAGATTGGCTGGCCAGCACCATCAAACAGATCAAACAGATCATTAGACGACTTGCTGCCAGGGGGTACCGAAGCCTAAAGACGACAGAATTTACCAGCTTTTTAAAAAACATGATTGAAGCGCTATTTACAGTTCAACTACAAGTCTGGCTTTTTAACGGTCTTATCACAAACTTCACGCATGAATTGAGCATTGTTCTCCTGATGAATTGGCCCCCCAAAATGGCCAGAATGTCTGCAGAGATGCAGATGGGTAGAGGGGAGCTTGTTTGAGTAACCTAATTAAGCAAAGACAGACTTCACTAGAATATATTTCAGAGAACCTGAAGTTAAAAAGTGCTGAAGGAACTAATTACCTAGTTATTTTTACTATCTGTAGCCATTTATGTCCATGGAAGATTTAAACCGGAGAAGCAAACATCAAAAGGAATGCATGTTTAAATTACTCTGGTTTTGGTTGAATGATGTAAACCTTAAGTAAAATACTAGTAAAGAAGGTCACCGTTAACAGGTGGTGAGTATGTTCCATTAGTACTCCAAGTAATGGATCTTAGGACTTGTCTACATAGGGAGATTTTCTTCTCACATACTTATAGAAGAATTATTAATTCATTAATACATAATTATTCCATACAGTTATACTGGTATAAGTCTCCATGCGGACACTATTCCAGAATTACATTGAGTTTATTCCAGAATAATGACTGTGCTTTGGAAAATTATAAAATCACTTATTTTGGAATTGTGTGTCCACAGGGGAATTTACACTAGTACAACTATTCTGGTATAGCTACGCAAGAAAATTTTGCCATGGAGACAAGCCCTTAGTTAATGGACAGAGCTATCTGGGAGAAAAAAAGTGTTTTGCAAGACATTATCTAAAATCTCAGAATAACTGACTTGTATTATCAAATATAATTCTAAAGTTACTGGGGGACCCTGACTTAGCTTGCAAGGTCACAAAGGAGACAGATGGAAAGCTGTATTGAAGCCTTCCTTTTATCAGTCATGTCACAAAGAAGAGAATGCATTTCCTGACAGTACCATGACCCATCAGAAGTCACTTCATTGGCATAGTCACTAATACTAGTATTGGTCATGAATTTCCAAGAGAATGTTTTTCATCAGAAAATGCTGATTTGGCCAAAGTATTTTCAGGAAAGGGTCAATTCTGACAAATTTTGAAAAAAAAAATTGGAAGAGCGTTTTGAAATTTTCTAAACATCTCATTTTGGCACTACTGAAACAAAAATATTTTGTTTTTTGGTTTGAAACTAGTTAATTTATACTAAAAAATACAAATTTTAAAAGGTCAGAATTGAAGGGAAACATTTCATTTAACCTGATCTGAAATTTTTGGATTATTGGTTTGTGAACGTTTTTGAAATTTCAACTACTTGTCTGATTCAGGATGGGAAGTTTTTTAAAAAGTCTTCGTATGTGATGAGAAAACTGCTTCCCACCCAGCTCTAATACATGAGATCACCATCTGTTTGGTTAATCTGTCATACTCTGAATCCTATATTCTTGCAGGAAACATCACAAAGAATACAATGGCATTCTTAATGTTCTATGAACCTTGGCACTGCGGTCAAGTGCATCTATGGCAGACTGATGGATGGCCTGCTGAAAAGTGTTAAGTACAATTTTACTAAACGTCTGCCTGACTACTTGCCTGTGAGGAAATGTTTCTTCCTCAAACGCACTGGCACAGTTTGTGGATTCTCTTACTTTAGGTGGAAGTGGGAGACAGTCCAGACAATCAATCCTGGTCAACAACAAAAAGAGGAAGGTCTGCTGACCCTCCAGAACTCTCCTAGTAGGCTTCCACATTTTAAGATGGTTTCTACCTACTAGAGGAACAATCATGGACTCAGACATTAGTCCAGGGGGGGGGAGTGGGGTGGGGTGGGGTGTGTGGGGGGGAGGGAGGAAGAGATCCCGAATGGCTGACATTAGCTTTATTCCTCCAATGAGAGTTTTGTACCCCTCTAACGCACTCATTAAATTAGTACTTGTGGGCTACAACCAGCAGTAAGAAAGAATCAGACACATAAGAGCATGATCATCTGGAGGGGAAAGCTTTACAATCCCACTCTCAAAAGAGTTTTAAAATTAAAGAACTGCTTCAGAACCCTCTTCCCACAGGCAGCACTAAGGCTGTAGTCTAGTTTGTAGATCCTGGTGAAGATACGCATCAATGGCCAGTCAACTCTGAACATCTCTTCAGGTGAGGGCCTGTGTCAATAGAGAGCATTGCCCCTGTAGACTTTTGGGAACCGGTCTATCAATGTTGGGGTAGACTTTTCTAATATCACATCTTAGCCATTTGGAAATGGTTATTTTGAAGACTTTTTATTCCTGCATTTGGGGTGGAATCTCAGATTCACAGATCTCTAGTCAAGCTGATAACTCATCTGAGATCCAGTTTGTGCCTGAATTCCTCCTTATGCTTCAGATTCAGACAGAGGGAAAGATGATTTTCTTAACATCACAGAGGATTCACAACAGCAATTATTGAAAGCAAAGTTGACAGGATCACCTTGTCCTTGTGAAGTATACAGAATGCTTCTTTGTCTGGGTACTCTGAATACCTACAGAGGTAATGGAAACCAAGAAAGCTACTTCACTGGACCACAAGTACATGGATATGATAACATGGAGTTTGAGAGCTTAAGACCCAGATCAAGTTCCATATAGGTTGTTTGTATAAAGGCAGCTTTATTTGGACTCTGATAAAATCATGCTATGTGAGAAAGATAGTGGAGTCTTACTGCCTGCTCCTAGAATGCTGGGTATGTTAAAGATCTAAGTGATGGCTTGTCTATTGGATCAGATTATTTAGTAAGAATGGAGGAAGGTCTTTAGTTCTTCTTGGTGTCACACAGTCCATTAGCTCCAACCACCGAGTCTGAGCCAGAAATAAGCAGAGGCCTTCTAAGACTGCGTTCCTTTTGAGACGATGGTATAACATAATAATTAGATAAAATCTCTTTAGTTATGCTACATTCAAGAGCCATACTTCAAAATTCAGAAAAGCAGGTTCCAGATGGAAGATCAGGGTAACCAACAGATGAAACGTACATATGGTTGTTATCTCCATTTGTTCAAAGTATCAGGGACTCATTAACCAACTGGTTATGAGCAGGATGACAAGTAATTTTTCTCTTTTTACCCTGTTCTGTTCAATAAAAGCATGGGGAGAGCAGAAGTAACTTGGAAGAGAGCTTCCATGCCTCGAACTATAGAACTATTGAGTGTGTCCTTCAAGACATTTGTTTTACTAGTGATTTGGCTGTGAAGCAAATAGGAACACTTAAGGCTGGCTGAATCTCAGATATGATATGGAAGTACTGGTTGCTCATTCTCCACTCTGATGACTGGACAACTTGACAATTCAGTCAGACTGGATTTTCAGGTATGTAGGGCTAAATGAAGGCTATCTTCTCTCTTCCCATTCCATACTGTGAAATGTCTCAGCAGTCAAGAGCTTCTGATCCCTCCCGGCCAGCTGATGCAGACAAAGGTGGTCACTTATCACCTTAAAGTACTGACCCTTGGGGAGGTCTGAGAAGCTAGGAATGTGAACTTCACTGATCTCAGCCTGAAGAGACTTTTTTCATAGCTTTTTCCACACTGTGGATGACCAAATGCCCTGAGGGTTGTGTGGGAGCCCAAGGTGAACCCCCACGCCTGAAAACAACAAGAAGTCTATATTATTTTCTGACTTCTTGCAGATAGGACAGCAGCGAAGTGCCTGTCAGAGAGCGCTTGATGAAAGACCTCCACAGGAAACATTTGGAAGTCAAATGGGAAACATGCTCTTCCTTTTTATGGCAGAGAAGCGAGTAGCCTCAGCTTTGCAGCAGAAATCTCTGCAACAACCTCTTGTGGAGTCTAACCAAAGACACATCTTTGCTTGAGAACATTGTGTCTAGCAGCCTGAGGCAGTCTCAGTGACACTAATTTTTAGAACAAGAAAGTTTAATTTCAGAGGATTTACAATTTCAAATAAGGAACAAAGAGCAGGACAGGAATAAAGATCCACTTTGCATGTCAGTGTCAGATTAAAAATAGACACTATAAAAGATATACATGTAGGCAAGATGTGCTCCTAAAAGTTTCTGCCATTTTCCAAGAGATGTCAATAGGCTCTTGAATTTTTCAATATTTTCCGATGTGTGTAAGCCAACCTTACAAAAAGGTTCATAAACTGTGGATTGACCATAAATAATCGTTTGACAGAGTCTGGCATGCCCACAATTACAGGGAGACAAAAAACAGAAAGAAAACAGATGGGGTAGGAAAGGAAATACATTAGTAGAAACCCAAGGGAAGCTAGGAAGACTAGACACTTCACCTATACTACATAAGTAGATATGTTTAAACACTATTGTGAAACAGGCTTTCAACCCAGCCATGTTATAAAAGACTTCTTTCCTCTCTTTCCCTTTGCGTACAGAAAAAAAAAGGTGAGTTGTGTCTGGGCCACAAACTTGTTCCAACAATTATTTTGTAGCTTAGATTGGACTGTAATTAAAACACTGCCCCAGACACTGAGTTTTCTAGTCTAATAGCGATAGAGATGACGACCCGGACCAATATTTGTGAACATACTATATGGCTACCCATGCAGGGGCAAGGGAAAAAAACTTGCCACAAGTATTTTTTCCCCCTTAGATATGTCCAAACAATTTAGGAGCTAATTCAGCCTAGTGATAAATCAAAATCATATTTCTGTATTTTAATTTGGGGCTTTTATTTTGAGAGCTTTGCTAATTATATATGGCTGAATGTTTCAGAGTAACAGCCGTGTTAGTCTGTATTCGCAAAAAGAAAAGGAGTACTTGTGGCACCTTAGAGACTAACCAATTTATCTGAGCATGAGCTTTCGTGAGCTACAGCTCACTTCATCGGATGCGCACCGTGGAAACTGCAGCAGACTTTATATACTCACAGAGAATATGAAACAATACCTCCTCCCACCCCACTGTCCTGCTGGTAATAGCTTATCTAAAGTGATCATCAGGTTGGGCCATTTCCAGCACAAATCCAGGTTTTCTCACCCTCCACCCCCCAACACAAATTCACTCTCCTGCTGGTGATAGCCCATCCAAAGTGGCAACTCTTTACACAATGTGCATGATAATCAAGTTGGGCCATTTCCTGCACAAATCCAGGTTCTCTCACCCCCCTCCCAAAAACCACACACACAAACTCACTATCCTGCTGGTAATAGCTCATCCAAAGTGACCACTCTCCCTACAATGTGCATGATAATCAAGGTGGGCCATTTCCAGCACAAATCCAGGTTCTCTCACCCCCCCCCCCCCACCCCCATACACACACAAACTCACTCTCCTGCTGGCAATAGCTCATCCAAACTGATATATGCCATCATGTGCCAGCAATGCCCCTCTGCCATGTACATTGGTCAAACTGGACAGTCTCTACGTAAAAGAATAAATGGACACAAATCAGATGTCAAAAATTATAACATTCATAAACCAGTCGGAGAACACTTCAATCTCTCTGGTCATGCAATCACAGACATGAAGGTTGCTATCTTAAAACAAAAAAAACTTCAAATCCAGACTCCAGAGAGAAACTGCTGAATTGGAATTCATTTGCAAATTGGATACTATTAATTTAGGCTTAAATAGAGACTGGGAGTGGCTAAGTCATTATGCAAGGTAACCTATTTCCCCTTGTTTTTTCCTACCCCCCCCCCCCCAGATGTTCTGGTTTAACTTGGATTTAAACTTGGAGAGTGGTCAGTTTGGATGAGCTTTGGAAGAATGGAAGTTTACATCTTACCTTTACTGTAGATTGTGGGGTCTGAGCTGCATTCTGATCCGGACTGGTTTTGTCTCCCGTGTAATGTGCTGCTGCTCCCAGATCAATGGTTTTGGAAGGGTTTGCTGTGCGTTTGTGTCTGGTGGTGGTAGTGGTCTCTGTGGCCTGCGTTATATGAATGTGTTTGGTCGTCACAGTCTCTTCTTCATCTTTGAATTCACCTTTGGGGGATTTACCTCTTCTTGCTTTCTTTTCCTCATCACTGTCACTAGAAGAGCAATGAAGAATGAAACAAAAATGATGCTAGTAAGTACAAATATGATTCAGTTCCTCCTCACCAAGATCCAAAGCCCACTGACATCAATGGAGTCTTTTCATCTACTTCAATGGACACTGGATTCAGGCCTAAGAATTTTGCCTATCATCCCCTTCACAGTGTTGACTGGTATTAACAAGAGACTATAGACAGCGACTTAGGGAAAGGAGTACACAGCTTTAATATTTGAGAAATTAATACTTTGCACTTATGTGGCACTTTACAAAAGTGGGGGTAGCATTATCCCAATTTTTCCAGAGACTTTTCTGTGCACGTGTGGGGTATAAAGGTATTTGGTAGATACAGCTGTCTAGCCTGTTATAATCAGGGATATTTAGAAAAAGAGTAAAAAGAAAAGGAGTACTTGTGGCACCTTAGAGACTAACCAATTTATAGGAGCATAAGCTTTCGTGAGCTACAGCTCACTTCATCACTCTCTAAGGTGCCACAAGTACTCCTTTTCTTTTTGCGAATACAGACTAACATGGCTGCTACTCTGAAACCTAGAAAAAGAGTGAAGTTGGTAGGCCTGTTCAACACTTGCCCCAAGAGGTATTCACTGGTCCAAATGAAGCAGCGCACCAAGCAAGGATGCTGGCCTTAAGATGCCAAGCATACCAACTCCACTTCCAGCCCATTTCCCATTTGAGATATATGGGCTTTTATGTCTTTGAGGTATTTGTGAAAAAAAGGTTACCCAGCTTTAATAAGACTGTTTCACAGTATTATACAGAACTGTTCTAAATTTCCCAGCTCAGAAAACACATTTATTCTTACACCTCAAAGCATGTGTCTGTTTTAGTTGAAATCTTTTTATGCACCACAGTAATGTATGTTTAATCTGATTATTAAATTCTCCATTCTTACTTTGCTTGTGACCAAAGGTGGTGTACAAGCTCATTCATTTTTGCAACAGGCATACTGCATGTTATCATTAGGGCAACAGAATTGTACACAACAATGAAAAATGCTAGAGAGAAAGCTTAAATATATTGAAAACTATTTTGAAATAGCAATTCCCTTCTGGGTACACAGTTAAAAGTGAAAGGTTTTTATATTTTAATAATGCAGAAGAGTACTAACATATGTAATTGAACAAAGATTGTCCTTTTGTCAGTGGAGATATGACAACCACAATATACTCTAGAGCAGTGCTTCCCAAACTTGTTCCGCCGCTTGTGCAGGGAAATCCCCTGCCGGGCCGGGCCGTTTACTTACCGCGTCCGCAGGTTCGGCTGATCGCGGCTCCCACTGGCTGCGGTTTGCTGCTCCAGGCCAATGGTAGCTGCTGGAAGTGGCGCGGGCCAAGAGATGTACTGGCCACCGCTTCCAGCGGTTCCCAGTGGCCAGGAGCAGTGCCGCTTCCAGCGGCTCCCAGTGGCCAGGAGTGGCAAACTGCGGCCAGTGGGAGCCACGATTGGCCGAACCTGCGGACGCAGCAGGTAAACAAACCGGCCCGGCCGGGGCTTTACCTGCACAAGCAGTGGAACAAGTTTGGGAACCACTGCTCTAGAGGGTAGCCTTTGTTCTCTGCTGAGAATAGGGGGGTGGATTGTCATACTTCATATACATAGAGGAAACAGGAGACATACAGTCTAGTTGCCACTGGAAGTGCTTCAATTCATGATCACTCAAAATAAACGTCCAGCATTCCATTTTGTATTCCAAAGACTAACAGCATTAGCTTTAGCCAGACATACAAGCAAGTATGGTGCAAGACTCTACACAGCTCTGCCAGCGCACCTAACCCCTGACTTGTAGCAACTGTTCCAGCTCTTGGCCCTCTGAGCCTACAGTACTATTAGCACCATGCACAAATGAGGGAATAGAATGAGACCTCTACATTCATTTTCAGTTGTGGTATCAGGATTTTAATCCAAGTCTCCAAAGATGACTGGCAAGCTCACTAATGCAATGCATCATTTAGCCACCACACCCCTGGCTTAGACTGTAAGCTCTTTTGGGGGCAGGGTCTTTCCATTGTGTGTTCATGCAGCGCTTAGCACAATAGGTCTCCAACCCTGATTGGGACCTTTAGGTACTACTGAAATACAATTACTACTGTTAATTGTTAATCACATCAGTGCAGTCCCTGGTACCTAATGTGTGCGTGTGTTGTGGGGAATTTGAGGGAGAGGAATGTTAACAACTGCAGGTGCTGCCACATCCATGGATGAAATGTACGCTTCAGATGTACGCCCATATTACACTATAGCACAAGTTTCAGAGGAATGTAGCAAGGTTAATCTTACTCGCTCAGGAGTAAGACAGAGATGACCCTTTAGTGATCTACACCATCTTAACTGCTGCACTACCAGAAATTCTAGCTCTACAAAAAACAAAAAGGGTTTGAGTGGTGAACTGATCTCCAAAATCTACAGCATTAGAGAAGCGACGTTTAGGTGGATACATGTGTTATATTTGAAAGTTTTCCAGAGAGGTTAAATATATATTCTGAATTGTAGGACATAAAATATTACAGTGCCCAATTTTCTATAATAAACTGTACTGCTTCAAACTGAATGTCTCAGGAGATTTGTTTTGATTTTTCTTTGATGGTCACATTAACAGCAATGAAACATTATAGATTAATGTTCGCTTTAAGTGTGTTTACTATGTACAGAATAAATCCCTATAAAATCGCACCGCTTCATGTGAGAACTGCATAGTGAATGTTAAGAAGTTTCATCTAGTATTGTATTGAGTCTTAAATTCAATGTCCTATGAGCAGTACATGTTCACATAACAGCCAGGAGCTGAACTCTAGCCTGTGGTCTCTTTCTTTAGAGTTTCTCCCCTCACCCTCCCCCCACCCTGGGACTGAAAATGGTTTACTGTCCCTTAGATTCTGGGGGAGATAGTTTGAGGCAGAATGCCTAAACCTAGTCAGCCCACAAAGAAGGATTACCACTCTTTAAACCAAGGTCACCTTTAGCAAAGATGACACTTACGGTTTTATGGGAGACCAACACCACATTTTGTTTTCCTTTGCCATCTGCTGCCTACACTAGCTTCTTAAAATGTTCGAGAGAAATAAATTTGGACAGAGTTCAAGAATTCCTGTTTGGTATTAAGAAATTGTTTTACAGATGCATGAAGGTACCTGGTGGAAAATACTGCTTCTGTACATAAGGATGGGATCAGCATTAATGGAGTGCAAAGCAATGAGGACACTGGGGTCAGGCTTGGATCATTAGTGTAAGATTAGGGGAAATCCCAACGAACAGAAAACCAGGGGCTTTTTTAGTGACTGCTTTCTGAATTGCCTTCTCTTCTACCATTTCAGTTCCAACGAGCCATCAATACTGGTAAGTTGGGAAAGGAACAATTCTGTGAGACAGGAATGTTTTCCTTCTAAGGTTCAAAAATAGCCATATCTCAAATTGTAGGCCCAGTTTCTCTGCAGACAAACAGCTGCACATACCTTAAGTGTAGCTCTGCTCTGAAAAATGGCATGATGGGGTTACATATTTCTCTCTCAATGACTTAGATCAAGTGTTCAGCATATAAGTAAAAAAGAACCTTTTTTCTAACTGGACCAGGAATCTGAAAGTCAAGCTGGGTTCTTCTAGTTCATGCATCAATAAAAATAAAGATTGTAATTGGAATTTTAAGCATTCTAATGACGAGATGAAAGGCAGACGGAGTCTGTTCTCATCCTTCCAGAGCAGTACTGACTGCAGTGCAAACAGGAGTTAAAAAAAAATTTTTAATCAGCAACGTCAACAGTTGAGACTGAACACAGAGAAGATCTGTGGATTGAGGCAGTACCCCTTACGTAGTCACTTTTCAGAGTAGAACAGCACATTAATTCTACAGTACTGCACCCTCACAGACTGCGAATAAACTGGGGAGGATGTTTGTTTTTAAGTGAATTCATTTAGGTGGTAGTACTGCTGAAAAGGATCTGGGGCTTACAGTGGCTCACAAACTGAATGAATCAACAACGTGATGCAGCTGCAACAAAGGGTGCTATTCTGGGATGTATTATGAGGAGTGGCATATGTAAAGACATGGGAGATAAAAGGCAGCTACCTTTTCAGTAACTGGTGTTCTTCGAGATGTGTTGCTCATGTCTATTCCACAATAGGTATGCGTGCTCGCCATGTGCACTGGTGCTAGAAGCTTTTCCCCTAGCAGTACCTGTAGGGGGGGGAGTGCCCCCCCCCGGCCCCTGGAGTGGTGCCTGCTTGGCACGATATAAGGGGAGCTGTGCGCGGCCCCCCTCCCCTCAGTTCCTTCTTGCCAGACAACTCCGACAGAGGGAAAGGAGGGCGGGGTGAGGAATAGACATGAGCAACACATCTTGAAGAACACCAGTTACAGAAAAGGTAACTGTCTTTTTGTCTTCGAGTGATTGCTCATGTGTATTCCACAATAGGTGATTCCAATCTATATCTGTTGGAGGTGGGTAGGAGTTCACAAGTTCCCAGGATGGAGGACAGCCCTGCCGAACCTGGTGTCATCCCTGGTTTGGGGAACGATCGCATAGTGCAAGGTGAACGTGTGAACTGAAGACCACGTGGCAGCCCTACAAATGTCCTAGATGCGGACGTGGGCCATGAAGGCAGTCAATGAGGCCTGCGCCCAAGTCGAGTGTGCCCTCACAATGGGTGGCGGGGGGACACCCGCCAACTCCTAACAGGAGTGGATGCGCGAAGTGATCCAATTGGAAAGCCGCAGAGTGGAAATCAGCTGGCCCCTCGCACGGTCAGCTGAGTCGACGAACAGTTGCAAGGACTTTCTGAACTGCTTGGTCCGCTCGAGGTAGAAAGCCAGAGCCCACCGCACATCAAGCGTGTGGAGACGGCGCTCTTCACTGGATGCATGAGGCTTGGGGCAGAGGACCAGTAGAAAAACGTCCTGACCCATGTGGTAGGCAGAGTCCACCTTCGGGAGGAACGCGGGGTGTGGGCAGAGCTGGACCGTGTCCTTATGAAACGCAGCATACGGTGGCTCGGAGCTGAGGGCCCTGAGCTCCGAGACTCGCCTGGCCGACATGATTGCAACCAGGAAGGCCACCTTCCACGAGAGGTGAGACCAGGAGTATGTGGCCAGTGGTTCAAATGGGGGCCCTGTGAGAGGAGCCAACACCAGGTTTAGATCCCACTGTGGGACCGGGACTCTAGAATATGGAAAAAGACCGTCCAAACCCTTAAGGAACTAGCCAATCATAGCATGGGAAAATACCGTGCCCCCTTGCACTGGCGGATGGAAGGCCAATATGGCTGCCAGGTGCACCTTGACTGACGAGGGCGCCAGGCCCTGGGCCCTCAGGTGGAGGAGGTAATCAAGGATGAGCTGGATCGGGGCAGCCACCAGGGAGACACCGTGGTCTGCCACCCACCTAGAGAAAAGGGACCACTTCACCAAATAAGCGCAGCGAGTGGAGGGCAGTCTACTTTTGAGGAGGACGCACTGAACCTGTTCTGAGCATGTCCTTTCCTCTCCACCTAGCCACTGAGCAGCTACACCGTGAGGTAAAGAGCTGCTAGGTTGGGATGGAGGTGGCAGCCCTGGTCCTGAGAGAGCAGGTCCAGGCAGAGCGGCAACGGCCACTGCGGAGCTACTGCCAGGCCCCGAGGGTCCTGTACCAACGCTGCCTGGGCCACGCCGGGGCAATCAGGACGACCCAGGCCTTGTCCATCTTCATCTTCTCCAGGACCCTGCTTATTAGAGGGAAAGGCATAGAGAAGTCGGCCTGACCAGGACAGGAGAAAGGCAGAGACAGCGCCCCTCGTCGGGTCCCTCCGGAGCAGAACCGGGGCATCGCTAGTTCTGCCAAGTCGCGAATAGGTCCACCTGGGGAGTTCCCCACCTTCGGAAGAGCCGGTGAGCCACTTAACCTAAATCTCTCTTGCTTCAGATGAAACCCCATTGCTGGGGGTCCTGTCTTCAGTGGACATGGAAAACGTAACGTCCCTGGACATTGTCCAGAGCGCCACAGATGTCGGCCCCATGCTCCAGAGGCAAGCCGCCACTGGGATCTCTGCAGTCGCCTCCAGCCTGGTACCGGTACCAGTCGAGGGAACATTCCCGATGCTGTTCACCACCGAGCGACCACTTGGGGCAGAGTCCATGTGGATCTCCCTCAGCGCCGACTAGATTGTCTGGGTTCCATCCGACTGGGACTCTCGGCACCGCTTGTCCTCAAGAAGCGAATATCGACGGGACCAATTAGCTATTATGAAAAACTTTTAACTATAAAGGTTATAAAGCTCTGGAATATGCTTCCAGGGTAGGTTGTAGAATTCCCATAGTTGGAGGTTTTAAAAAACAGGTTGGACAATCAGTCAAGTTTACTTGATCCTGCCACAGTGTAGGGGACTGGACTTGACAACTTCGACATACATTTGTATGATTTAGGACAGAGGATCTCAGCATTTCCAGACTACTGTACCCCTTTCAGGAGTCTGACTGGTGTTACGTATCCCTAAGTTTCACCTCACTTAAAACTACTTGCTTACAAAAATCATACACAAAAATACAAAAAAGTGTCACAGCCACACTATTACTGAAAAATTACTTGCTTTTTCATTTTTACCATGCAATTATAAAATTATTGGAATAGAAATATTGAACTTACATATCAGTGTATAGTGTATACAGCAGTATAAACAAATCATTGTATGAAATTTTAGTTTGTTCTGACTTTGCTAGTGCTTTTTATGCAGACTGTTGTAAAACTATGCAAAATCTAGATGAGTTAATGCACCCCTGGAAGAGCTCTGCATACCCATGAGTATGTGTACCCCGGGTTGAGAACCACTGATTTAGGTTATTTCCATGAACCCAGAAGGACAGAAGGATACAAACTCCATATCTATTGCACACATTCTTCAAAGTACCATTCTGTGCAGTGTTGGATTTTTAATTTTTAAGCCACACACAATTACTAAAATCCAATTTCTTCCAATCACTGATGCTTAGACATTAAATATTTATGTAGAACTTGCACCTGCAGTATTCAATTAGTGGGTTATGGAACAGGAAACGATAAAAATAGGTACCACAGTTCTAAGAGCATAAATAGCTATCAATATGATTTTTATTGGGTTTTAATTACACATTACATCATGAGATTCCTATGACAATATGGACCCACCCTGAAGACTTTGCTCCTCCTGCGGACAAAACTTTCATTTGTTTCAATTCCCACTGCACAAGTAATGGCTTCCAGATTAGGCTCCACATGTATGCTGTTCAGGCAAAAAGATGCTTTTGGATTGCTTTTTGTGCAGTACTAGAGACACGGCATATTGGCATAAGTCTGGATTATTTTGCATTTTGGGACTTAGATGGCACCACCTCACCTTAACTACCACTTGGAAGAGCATTTTTGCTTGTGTATGCTGCATAATTTCCCATTTTTACTCCTTGTTTAAAAGCTGATTATTTAATAATACCAAATGCTTTTATGGCACTTTACAGAATCAAAGACATTCTCCCTGGGCTGACATTTCTGGTAAAAGATGAAAGGAAAGAGAAAGGATAACAACAAAGTATACAAGATGTAATAACTATGAGGTGTGAAAGAGCAAATGATTAAGTTAGAGAACTGGTTAGTGCAGAAGATTAAAAACACTGGAGTAGAGCAGAGATTAGCAGTTGAAAGCTAGCTGAAAGATGACTGTTTTGGGGTGGGATTAGAAGGTGGAGAGAGGCTTGCTTGGCACACTCGGAGATGGAGATACACCCAGGTGATGAGCAGTAGTGGGAGGAAGAACACAGTGGCACAAGACAACACGAGGGGAATATCAAGGTAAATATTTGTTCATTTTCTATTTGAAATATAGCTAAGGATCTTTAAGGATATTCTTGTGTGCAAAATTGCTTCTGAAGGATAAGGACATAAAGCTCAAATCAATGTACCATTATTGTTAAATCTGAAGTTGTTTAGGTTTCTTCTGATCCTTTCTCTTTGTAGTCTATTGATGATAAATTCTAAGAGGGAACGCTGATGTGTGCATAGAGTACTAGGTTTTGGTTTATTAATGTCCTAGGGGGAAGGCCATATTGCCCTGTTCTGAAAAGTGCAGCCATTAGTATTACTTTCACTTCCCTGATGGACCACTTGGTATTAAAAAAAATACTTATACATAGTGTTTTGAAAAACTACCAATACACATAAATGCACGATGTATTAGAATTCCTACAATTTTAGAATGTTTACCCAACAGGAAATTATTTAAATGAGCATTTTCTCTGTAGCAATTTCAGATTGTTAAGAATGATTTTGATCTCTCAATAATAAAATTTAACACACCTGTTAAACTGTGCTGCATTTAGAGTTCATGCTGCAGGCAAACACACCTCAGTTTTATTTTCTTACTGCAGAGGATTTAGTGGCCAGGTGAACAAACATCTGTCATATTTTACAAAAAGGTTAGCTGAAAATGAAACTATTTGTTTCAAGTACAAGAGTAAGTGGGCCAAATCTGTTCTTCCAAATCTGTTCTGCTCAATACAGAAACCCAGTGAAAAACAATGAAAATAGGAGATGGAGGGTGGGGCTAAAGTGGCTATGAGCAATTTCTGTGTCTCCTCCTATTCTTGGGTCATTTAGGAGTTTGCCTGGACTCTGCCATAAAATAGAGCAGCTTCAAGGCTGCTGCAGTGGGCCCAGGAGGCCAATAGCTGAGAATTACTAGAGCTCAGTGCACTTTGGCCAGACTCCCCCTGAACAAGCAGTTGCAGGGCCAGGGAAGTTATGCTGACTCTACACCACCCAAAGAGCCTTCTTATTCTCTGGGGTTGGGGAGGACAGCTACATAGCCCCCCCCCCAGACCAACAGAGCAGGGTAAAGGGGGTGGGAGAGGGTCATAAAACAAACTGGCCCCAAATTGTATTTCTATTAGGAGGGGAAAGCGTGGCAAAAAACTGCAGACACCTAATAAGCCTTACAATAACAGTGACACTTCAGAATAGATACAGCTATTTTAACACAGTAAAAGTACCTGCATCTTTCAGGAGAGTCCTCTCTATCTTTCCTCCGGAACTTGCTGATGGTATCATCAATTGTGCTTCCAATTTTGTCACTCAGTTCACCTAGTTTATCGCTGAATGGAAAAGCACCCTTGTTTTTATCCCACTCTTCATCCCATTTTGACTTGGGCTCAGAATCATACCTTTCACCTATATAATTTGTGAAGACATAATACTGATGGTAAACACACAAAAAAGCCTGTAGTCTTTTTGGAGTCGTCCCCCCTTACCCCACAAAAACTGTAATCTTATGAGTTTTCAAAGCAAACTGAAAGCTCCCACAGTGCTGAATCAACACTGCTACAGCAAGGCATGCCATGTAAGGCCAATGATTAAGTGGCAGGAATACAGATTCAAAAGCTTTTGTTTATGATAACTACACAACCTTAATGCACTGCACAGCATAGCACATCAGGATAGTGTTAAACCTTGCTGGAGGAGCAGCATAAGAGAATCAACTCAGGCTGTATAAGCAACTTATCAGAATTGGAACATGCCATTTTTATAATGGTCACTTAATGTGCAATACTGCATTCCAGGCCAAGCTGCTATGCTAAGTGGTAAATCTTTCAAAGATTTTATACATTTTAAAAGCTCATGAATACAGAGGCAGAGTACCAAACACCAAAACAGACTAGTGTGAAAACATATGGTAATATTTCTAGCATCTATTCCTGTTAAAAAACCCTCAAAAACAACAAGATTTAAAAACCATTAAGGAAAGTATAGCAACTTACTTTCTCAGCAGCCAGTCAGTGCTTTCACTGCTCAACACTACAGTGCCATCAAGAATTAGCAGCAAAATAAATCTGCTTCTGAATGTTGAGAAGCAAGAACTCCAACTAGCTGCTGGTTAGTTTAGAAAAAAGATTATAGCTGTGCTTGAATTACATGCAAATAGTCCATGTACACATCTAAATGGAGATTTATTAAAGTAGATATTTTCACTAAAACTTCCCCTTGAATTGTTGGAATCTGAAACAATGACGACGACTGCACTACGGTTGAAAATTTTAGCCACCCAATCAGTGGCTTGGTTTTCATAGGGCAGGTATTTGGATCCTGGAAATATTAAGCCACTTATGGGGTACCTAAATTTGTATTCAAGTACTTACATTTAAGCACCAAACATTTGAACATGTTGGTTATAGTGCATAAAAATTAGAAAGGAGACATTGACCAGCCTGCTTTTAGTGCCTTACCTGAGTGAAAGGGAACTAGCAAGCACACAGCAAAAACAGTAAATTATTTGGGAACTCATAAGAAACTTGTAAGATACTCAAAAAAAAATATACAAGGATCATGCTCAATTAAAAGTTTTAAATCCACACACAATGAGTAAGTGATAGGAATATGAAAAAGGTTCAACTGAATCCAAATTATGCCTCTCTCCAACCTGAATTACACATGCAAAAATAAAAATCTCAATCTCTGGAAAAGAAAATGTGAAGATCAAAATGACTCACTTTGTTAGTTTTTTTGGTATAACACAGAATCTGGACACGTACAGATATGCTTTCTGATCAAATGGCTCAATGTTAGTATCCAGCTGCCTATATCCTTTTCTCCATTTTATATGTACCAAGACTATATTGAAAGTGTCTACCAAACCAGATAATCAATAGTGCTCTCCATCACAAGAAGCAGAGAAAGTGCTAGACAGCACATCAATGTGCACTGAATGTGTTTTTTTTTTGTTGTGGTTGTTTCTGTATTTTAACTTCTATTGTGTTTCCTTGTGTGTTATAAACATTTAGAACGCTGACAAGCAGCTTAAAAACCTGGCCTGATGTACTGAAATGTAGATTGAGACAACAAAAAGAAATATTGGTTGGGTGTGGTTGTGTAAAAAAAAAAAAAAAAAAACAAGTTTCCCTATGTAAAGTTTATTCACATGTTCCAGAACTTTGTTACACATTAGCCTGACACAGCATTGTTAAAAATCGTGGGCTAAAAAATAGCCTGTTCACATTTTTTAAAACTCACAAAATAACCCAAACGGATATGTTTTTGGATACTTTAGAAAAAGCAAAAAGAATCTTAAAACTATTTCCCCCCATAAATCCTACTGGATCCCTCTACAAAAAATCCATTTTCTGTATAAGAGACTATTCCTTTCCAGCTGAAAGACCTGACCTTGTATGTAAAATTTCAGCCTGAAGGGTTTTTTTTTGTGCTGGCATTTTAAGATGATGCAAATGGCTTGCAAACACTTCAATACAGTGATAAATGAAGCAATGCTAATTATAGATTCTTTAGTATAAAAACAAATAACATTTGAATGAGATGACACAGGTTCAGATTCGGAAGTGTGGTGAAAAGAGCTGAAGAGAATATGGAAAAGGAATGAAGTTTTCCACTGATCAACATGGGGTGGGTAAGTTATCTTTGGACAGAGTAAAACAAGAGCCAACCCAGACAGAAAGATAGGAGACAACAATGAAGAAGGTACAGAGGCAGTGGCCCATGAGTGTTCTACAAGACAAGAGGATTACCAGAGCCCCCAGCAGGTAGCAAAAACCCAAAGAAATATATTGCAAGGAGGCACTTATCCTACAGCATAGTGGCACTGCCTGTCTACCTTATTTAGTTGGATGGGGGGGGGGGGAGGGGGAGGGAAGGGAATCCTTCCCTATACCATGGAGACGGTTCAGCCCACTGGCACTTCCACCACAGTGAGGAGGAAGGGTACGTGTAAGGGTCCATAGTGCCACACAGTGGCTTGTTCAGAGTAAATCTCCAGATCACATAGAGGATGCATACTCCTGGCACACCTCCCTCACATACAGTCCATTCTCACACAGAGAAGTCACACTGGTTTCACTGCACAGGAGCACTCAGAAGTTGTGAGCATGAGGGTTGGACTTTCCTCTTAGTGGAAAATATCCCGATCTCTAATAGTACCAGGGAGAATATGGACAGACTGATGGTTTAGATGCAACATGTTGGGCTACACTGAAGAGATGCAAATTTAGATGCACTGCTCAGAGCTTTGTTCCTCACTGTGGCAGGGCTGGGAGCATGCAGGAGGCCAAGGAGGGAGTGGTGCACAAAGATGTGCCTTGCATTGCTCATGAGTGATCATTTAAGCAAAGCAGAGAGAGGTGGGGAAGCTTCAAAGCATGGCAAAAAAAGGCCTGATGTGAGATATCAATGCTTAAGTCATAGGAAAAAACCTATCAGTTCTATGAAGCTAGATTTTAGGCAATCACTCCTGCAGATGAAGGGCAACTTCCCCTGGACACATTAGGCTCTGGAGCACCTATTGTCAAGGAGAGATGCAGAGTTATGAATGGTCAAGTGACCTTAATGGCATTTACAGACTTATACATTTTTGCATTTTAACCCTAGAATATCCCTTTAAACTGATTTTTAAGACAAAACTACTGCTTAGTTTTCCTCCCTTAAATTCACAGTTCCCTAAGCTTCAATACCAGCTGTTGCTCAAATAAGGTTCCTTTAAGTTTCCCAAGCACCCACTGAAACACTGAACAGGTGACCTGCCTTCAGTTTTGCAAGGCAGAGTGGGCCTGGTGGGTGCAATAAAGCAGCACAGTACATATTCAGCTGCAAGTTTCCTAGCGTATCAAGGCAAAGTGGGTGTGGTGCTCGCGCTGGCACTGGGAAGCACGCTCCTTAAGGCACGCATGGGAACTGCAGATTCAACGCATACAATTAAAAAAAAAAAAAATCACATAGACCAGATGCAGACCCCTGAATTCCATTAGAGATTGTAGATCAGCAAGCAGCACCACACGCACATTAACACCACCACACAGACCTGATGTGAATATCAAAATACATACATATGATGGCTTATATGCCAAGGGTCCATATAATGCTACCCGGGGAGTTTAAGATCTGCTTGCATATCTTAAGGTACACATTGTTTTACTTTAACACCATACACTCACCATCAAAACAAAATCAGAGGCACGCAGCGAGGTCAGTTCGCTAAGACAAGGGTAGGAAGTCTACGTCAAGCCATTTTTCAGCTATGAAGCGGTGACAAGGTATTAGCAATTTAAAAAAAACAGAACAAAAAAAACCACAGAATTCTTCTGGAAGCCCTGTATTTTTAAAATGCCTTGTTTGATTTGCTTCAAACTTTCCATTCGAATTCTATTGTGGCAAAAGCCCTACATGCCAATTTTTAGGTAGATCAGTTAAGTTTTGGAAGTGTCAGTGCATCACCATCAGCCATATTAAAAAAAAAATCTCCATTTTAGTTCATTTAAGTGACTCTCTCCCCCTCCCGCCCAGGGACATTTGAAAATATTTAATTTCTATTCAGAGGTACCAGAAGGATGTGAAAAGTTATTAGCTTGATAAGAGTATTAAAATTGCCAGGTATATTTTAAAGAGTCCTTTAGAAAGGGACAATTTATCCAGGAAGGATTTGCTCAGTAAGTAGCTACTCTTTTAGTATTTATTTGCTCCGTGCAGCACATCCATGAAACCAAGCTAAGTCACTGGGTGCAAATTGCTCTCCTCAACTAGTTGACCAACACAGCACTGAACTCACCATATCTGAACCCTCCGACACTGTCAGAAGAAACCCCAATGTATTTGTCTTTGTTCTTCTTTGCCTTTTTCCTCTCTTCACGAAGTCGATCATCATCCTGGGCAAACTCTACCATTTCTTTTACCTTTTGGCGTATGTTTATACCTTGGTCTTTGCCATTCTCATCTATATATATTGGCAAAGGGGAAAACATTCAGAAATAGCAGTTAGAACTGAGCATTAGACAAGCTAACAAATTTAAAAAGTTACAAAATGAACAGTTATGAGAAAAATCCTAAAATGCACTGAACCTGTCTAAAATATGAGGTCAAACATAACATTTTATTTCAATTGAAATTTCATCCTCAACTAAATCATGTATTTTCATTAAGCACAATTTTTATTTAGAAAGGTCTAGCATTAATCTTTAACAGACCAACAACAGTAAGTTTTGGAGTAAAACAACCAGACTCAGATTTAAACTATTTTCTTCACTCATTTTATTCCGATTTTAACCCATTTTAAGAATCAGCACCAGTTTTTAGCTTTTTTTAGTGCAGTTTTAGAAACACTAATTGCTAGAATTCTGTCACACTGCAAAACTGAATTTTTAAAGTGCTTTCAGCTAAAAACTAAAATTTGCTTTTCTCGCCAGCCTCTTTCACATTCAAAACACACATTGGCCTTGCTGCCTTTGCACTGTAAATATTATTTGGTGGGAGGAAAAAAACCCCCAGCTTCAAACAGATGTGTGTGTTTTGGAGCTCTAACCTTTTCTTCCCATATGATTAAAGCTATTCCTTTATGGACACCACAGGGGACCAGTCTCTAGTGCATATTTTAATATAAACCCGAACACTCATGTTGTGTTGGTTCTGTTGTTATTAGCCAGTCTTTTCTGCAAGTTCTTGTCTTCACTAATTAATACTCTAGGGTCCCACGTCTTGGATTCTGCACTCTTCACACAACCGGCAACAGTCACATTCTAATTAGAGCAGGGAAGCTTCTAAGCTGGTTCAGGTGACTGACAACTCCAACTCCTGTTTTAATTTGCTTATAAGATTTTTCTATTGCTCACCTACAAAGTGGTAATTTTCCAGGGAGCGCAAATCATAAATGTGTTCTCTGGCACTCGTAACAACACGCTCTGATCCATTCCTTATGAGGTAAGCTAGGAGCAGCAAAGACTATAAAAATACAAAGCACATTAAATGACTGCATGACCAAAAGCTCTATCAGAATTTGTTTTAAGTGCAATAAAAAACTAAATCCTAAAATCCAAAAAAGTCAGTCAATGTCAAGGTTTGTTCCCCTTTTAAATAAGTAACTATTACACTGATTTGCCTTATCAGGTTCTCTTTTTTCCTTCCCCTTTTTCATTTATAAGCATCGCAAGCAAATTTAGATTGCATTTGTTCAGTAAAAACAAAGTAGATTGTTATTAGATCATCACTAATTCTTGAAGCAAAATAACTTTTCATCAGAAAAAGATGGTGATGGAAATTTAAAAAGCAAACCTAAACCTGTAAAACAAAATAGTTTTCCTGTATCCCCTCTGCCCCTTCAATTCCCCAAAGTTTTTCATTTAAAAGCAATTTTTATGGTGACTTATTTCTGTTGCTCTCTACAGGAATGTGTTCATGTATAAAACACAGTATTCTGGAGTAAGTTTAAAGGAAACTTCAAGAGAAAAATTTTAAGAAGTTGAAAAAGTATTTTTTAAAATTGTGAACTTCCTTGAACTTCAATAAGTTCCATCTAAAAAAAAGTCACATGAAACAGAGTATCAGCTACAATACGTACTCAAAATGCAATATATTCAAACCTGGTAGATAATTCCAACTTAATTTAGAACATTAAGTAGTACGTATGATAGCATTAAATATTAATTTACATTATACTTCAGGGAAAACAATTACGAGTACAAAGCATTGGGCACCCCAAGAAAACAGAGTGTGCCTTACAATTATTTTTGTCTTGTTATATATAATCTAAGCCTCAAACAAGACACAGTAGGATCTAAACCTTAAATTTTAAAAATGATATGTGCTATACCAATCCCACCCCATCCCCGAAAAAAAACAATATAATCGTACATATGTTGTTACATTGGAAGTACAGCATTACAATATTAAGGAAAAAGATCTACTTTACACAAATTATTCAAAGCCACGAAAACTTCAACTGGTGTTCAGTGCTTTCTCTACCACTAATAAGACAAAAGGCAAATGAAATACAATCTTCAAAATTAGTGGGAAAATTTGGATTCTTTTCAGGCAGAATACTTAATGTAAATTAAGTTTTAAGCTGTTTAATTTTGAAACAATTTTAATTTTTCTAGTTAGAAACAATATCCTTTAGAATGCTTAAAAAGAATTTGAAAACAATTTGAAAAAGAATTGTTTACCAACAGGGATACATACAAATTATATTTCTTTTGTTTAAGTACAAAATGTAGATGTTATTCTGTTTGACACTCCTGCAACAGTAAAATAAGATTACTATGTTAATTAAAAAGCATTTTACACAAAACACTTGTTTTTAGAAAGCTCTATACTGCAGAACAAAACAAAACAGAAATTTGACTTTTATAATAGAGTTAATAGTAACAACTGACAGGAGAAAACTAAAGTTTATTGTAACTACAGTTTCTTGGTAATACAAACGTAACATAGTTGAATACGTACATGCACAACAGTGCATCAAGATATGAAACTGAAATTAATACCTTGTTTGTTCTTCAGTACACAGAGTAAGAGTAATCACACCCTAAAAATGTCTTATATGCACACACCTTATAAACTCTCCTCCAGTTCTTTTTATTATCTTTCAACATTCGAGTCCAAAGCATGTTCATAAGTTCTGGAAACTGCTCATACATAAATGTAGCTCTAGGAGAATTAAACAAAAGGAGCAAAGCAATTATTTTCATAAGTTTTCCCTAGTAGTTTGCTACAATTAAATGTTGACAGTAGATGGCAGACTTGGTCTAAAACTATTGTAATTCCATCACACTCCAAGTGAAGAGCTACCAAAATTTCTTATTTATACAGATGAATTTCACACACCACCATTCAAACAAAGCTGAGTATCTATCAATTTGGGGGACGCGGGGGGGGGAGGGGGGGAGGGGAGAAGAGGAATCTATTCTCTTCAAAGCAATGGTTTAATATCTACAACATGACTGTGGTGGTGCCCCTCATAACTAGCTCATCACACACTATCCAAGCCCTTCTCTGAAAGATAAACTGATACATATGTTCAGGAGCAAAAATTTGGCTAATCTTACTCTGTTTAAACCCTTAAAAAGTATTGGAGCAACTGGCCCCAAATAGGATCTTTTTTATTCTGAAAACCCCACAAAATTATACATATTGTAAGACCAAGAATTAAAAAAAAAAAAAAAAATACACTGCAAGTACACTGTGACATGTCTCTGATTTGGTGATTCTGATTTTTTTTTTCCCAGCATATAATCCTAAAATTTAATTTACAATTATTTGTCAGCTCCTCTCTATCAACCTGGCATCCTTGCTGGTTTGGCAGCAAATTTTACATTTCTGTATAAAGATGCATCTTTTTCATCACCGCTGCATCAAATCATCACTTACTTGGCAATCTCTCCCATGAGCTGCCCTGAAGGTCCCCATGGATCATCATTGGTTGCTTCTCGAACCTTAGACTCGATGTCTGAATAATTCATAACCACGTTGGTGCTGCAAAGGAAAAAAAATTAACACACACATGAAGATTAGCATCAAACTGAGAAACACATGAAAACTTAATAATGACACTAGTGGGTACCTTAATGAGATTCCCACCCTGTAGAGGTAAGAAAACATCTTTAGTGAAGAAGCTACCCTGAGGACATTATACAACACATTTAAGTTATCTTTAAGATGATTTTTACTTTCCATTAGTCTTCAAGAATACAGATGAGAGACTAGGGATTACACGAGAGTTGGAATCAGTCCAGTAAAAATGGCTTTTGGTCAACTTAAAACTGAAACAACCACTAGAGTCTAAATTGGTAGTTTCCCCAGATAGATCTGGCTTGCTTGCAGGCTTACATGTTGCACAATTATTTGCCAGTACTTCTATAATTCAATGAACAGAAGTGGATGTGTATTTTTTCAAACCATGTGCATTATAATGAAATCCAAACAATGTCAGTATCCCAGCAGGTGCTAGCAAAATTACACAGATAGGAGAAGCTGGAAAGAAGGGAGATGAGAAATTCACAGGGAAGTATGTTTTTTAGCTTGAACAGTTTTAATTAAGGGAAAATGGGAAGGAGAAAGGGAGAGAAGCTACAGGGCTCCCTGTATGCCGATTATAGGAATGAAAACAATATCAAGAGTTCAAGGACCCTCTACGGGAGTTCTTGCAAAAATGCAATATAGAAAGAGGAAAAAAGATGTTGCAGTACTATCTTTAAGAGAGTCAAAGAATCTGCCTTCTTAATGAATAGCTGCTGTAGAAAATGTTAATGTTTAATCACAAGTCTAATTTTTAATGCTTTCTTACGAAAAAGAAGTCCTAATATACTCTGGAAGCAAGATGATCTGCCTTAACCCGAACAAAAGAGGGGCTCAATGGATTTATTCCTTAACTGTATTCACATGAAAAGAGCTCTCCTATGGCAATATTTAAAGATGTATTTTTTTCAGATGTTGTGTTAGTGGGAAAATGGAATAATTGTGCATATTCACATGTACATCAGAGAAACACTGCACAACTAAAACACACACCATTACATATACTCTGCCTACTTGTAGAATGTTCTCACACGCTCTAGTGTATTTAAAATAGATATGCAATGGCTATGTTTATACCCCTTATACTACAAAGTTTAGAAAAAAAACCTGTTAAATACATTATACAACTGGTTTCAGAACCTGAAAGAAGTTGCTGCAACATGATTGTTTTCAACTTGGAGTCCATAGAACGTCTTGTAAACCAACTGGAATGAAATGCGGAACTGGTCCAGTGGCCTAGTAGTAATGCTATGGCGGGGCGGAGACTGGGTTCACCTTCCTTTGTTTTCTGAATCCAGAATGGCAACCAAAACACTGCTTTACAGTCACCCGTCTGGGTGTTTAGGGAGAAGCATGAATAGGTTTTAAAGTGACACCCATCTAATCCTCCGTGCAGAAGAATGATGGAACTGGGAGTGTAAAGCAAAAGAGAAAGGAGAAACAAAAAGTTTTTAAGAGCCAGAAAAGGACACAGAGGGTAATAAATCCAGAGGTAGAACTCCTAGACTTAATCAGGGATTCTCAGCATTAGAATTCTTGCGATCAGATTCTGAAAAATAATTTTATTTGACTGTGTCTGAAGAAAGCATACCCTACATGGCTGAGTAAGTAATCAGCAAGCCAATAGACTATGATCTGTTTAAGAAAGCATGTCCAAACTCAGCAATAGGTTTGAACAATAGCAATTAGGGTTGTATAAAGTCACCGTTAAAAACTAATTTAAAAAAAAAACCCTACAAACTTTTGTTTCTGCTGTTTTGTTTGCTGTAGACATCCAGATGTAAGCTAGTACCATTTTCAATTCTCATGCATATGGAACATTTTCATTTATTTGTTTAACTACAGGCTTCAGAAGCTTTGCAGCTTTCAGCACACTAGTTTTCTTGTCCTATGTAAGGAAAACTTGTGGGTCAAAAGGGAAAGGTTCTGTTTGTTTTTATAAAACCTCCCCAAGCTCTTGTTTGAGGGGATGGATGGGGATGGGGAATATAAAAAAAGAGAGTTTCCTATATTTCAAGTAACGTTTGAGATTGGGGAAAAAAAAATCACATAAAAAAGAAACTTGCAGGAAAAATACCAGCATCAACTAAATAGCTTCTCAAAGTACAGGGCTATCACAGTACTGGGAAGAAGTAAGCAATGGGGGGGGGGGGGGGGGAGTCCAGTTAAACCCACTAAAATAGGAAGACATGCTCCATTTCTAAAACCATCCTACAGTAAAGTTATTGTTCTCAGCAAATTGTAGAAAGCTCTCAAATACCAAGATGAGATCTAATGGCACAAAACGTTCCAAAACAAAATATCTTTAAGCCACAGTTAATTCAGAAACAAATGTAAACTTAAAAACGTTGTATAGTTTGGCTTTGTTCCAGGTCTTTTAAAAATAGCTATTTTTAAAAAGGTGGAAATATAGTTTTATTCTTCCTTTCCCATGTTTTCTATGGCCCTCATTCCATGCCCTACCCATGATTCCTGTGACCTTTGCAGCAAAAAATAATTTATGTCCAGATGTGAAGGGAAAAAGTGACTGGTTTGATTGCCAAGACTTCCTGTGATTGATATAAATTTAATATCCGAGGACACTTTCAGACGCCAGGGGGGGCTCTCTGATTAGTTTATACTGGGCAGCTTCCAGGGAATCGTGCTGGACTTCATGGACAGATTGCTTTGCAAACAAATGGTTATGCAATAGTTAAGACTAACAGAAGGAATCCTAGTACTGAACGCTTAAAGCACACTATAATCTCAAAGATTCCCTTTGGATTTACACCAACTCATTAATTTAAAGCCCTCACAATTGAAATCTTATAACAAGCCAGTTTTGACATGGATAGAGATGTTAAGTAAACGGAAGAAGTGGATTTAGCCATTAGGTTAAAAGTACGGCATATGGAAAAAGATAAATTAATGATTACAAAACCTTTGCCACATTCCTTTCTGCTTACATGGTACATGTTAGCTTTCTTATAATTGTCTTTTTAATCTTATAGATCAGTGGGAGTTGACACTGATACATTTTAATTTTCTTTTTCATTCACTGTTCCAGCACCTTTTTTCAAAGTCAGTGATGTCAGTATAGGTTTGGTTCTTATATTTCTAGCCAGAAAGAGGCACTAGCAACAAATAAATAAATAAATGGGTTCAGTAAAAATAGCCGTGGTCCGTGGAGTGTTCTTTATTTTAAAATCTCAGCAACAGATGGGTTAAGTTTATAAATACAAAAAGCTACACATCTACAACAATTTTAAAAAGGTAGCTTAAGTGATGCTCTCAAATTCTTTGGCAGTGGGAATGCCAGTACATCTCATTATTTAAAAATATTTGGCTTGTCTCAGTGTGGATCAATTAACAAAGATTAAATATTCTTCACGTTTTTGAAAAAATGAATATTTATATTTAACACCTAATTCTACAATCAGATAAACTAAAAAAAGAGATGCCTTTATTGTGATTAAACATACCCAGTTTACTTAAAGTGTTTTATGTGCTTCTGAAAAGGAAAGGATCTTTGAAAGAACTATACAGCAACCTCATAAATATTCCAAATTTCTTTTTGAGTTATGGTTTCCTGAGATCTAGAATATTTGCAATGCGGCTCTCATCAAGACCCAAGTGTCATGCCTTAAAATGAGTTAAAAACAGAAAATAGGGAAAACGGGTTGGAGAGAAATATTGTACATGCTTCATTATATTTCCTGCTGCTTGTCTTTTTTGTGGGGGAGAAGGGAGAAAGGAGGTGTGGGAGAAAAAAGTCAGTTCTGTAACCATTCCTACAAAGATAACAGAAAGCCAAAAAACAATAAGCTCCATCCAAAATTTGGTGTGCAGAATATTTACAAATTAGCTATCCGTTCCCACTCATATTATAGAACACTCATAAATCACATCAGCTTTCAGGAAGAAAATGAGGGAAGAAACCTGAAATGCTCTTCCGAAGACAAACAAACATATATGGATTTCTTAAAGCATACAAATGAAATAGTTCATTTGCAAGTAAAGATTTACAGGTGTTACAATTTTCTGAAGGAGCGTACTTCACAAGACTAAATACAGAAAGCATGAAGATCATTTTTCACCATACAGATGGTACACACAACTCAGGAACAAAGTAGGCACAAGAAACACTGTGTACATAAGTAAGCGATAACTATGTTGTGCAGAGTTTTCTAAGTACTTGATTTCAATACATTCCGTGGCTGTGATAACAGTAATATTTTAGGCTACTATACTATGGCTCTTCACAACACTGAACCCCATAATGAATCATCAGATCTCAATAATGCTCCTCAGCTCTGAAGAACAGCGTATTAAAGAGGGTGAAGTGTATTATGCTCTCCAGAAAGTATCAACATCTCTTCAAAGTGTTTTACCATAAAACACCCATAAAATAAACACTGAAAAGGAAAGTACCCTTAGGCTAAAAAAATCACTTTAGTGCCAGGAAAAATCTGTTCTATTTTGTGTTTTCAGCCAAAACATTAGGGATAACAATTTTAAATAATACTTGCAATGTTGTGAGGTGAAACCTTGATCATCAATCATGTGGTTCTCATTATTCTGGATCACAGAACACCCTCCACAGATTCTTATGCTGTACTTGTACCCAAATTGGAACTCCTAAGGGAGGTTTACCATCCAACTCTAGATTTTGGGAAGCAATGCTCTTTTGAAGTATTACAAATACCTGGCTCACTAGAAAATGACATTTCAGCCCTTCAATGTGCACAAGAATCCTCTAATGACAAGAAGTTTCTGGATTCAGAAATGTCCAAGTGATTCCCCCAACACCCAGATCCAGACCCAAACTGAAATATCCCTGAAGTATCAAGGAATATAGTACTGCTTTACAGGTATCAGTATACAAAATTTGAAGTGGATAAAAACTAACTATTGCAGCACACTTTAATCAGTATTTACTGGAGTTTGCAAATACAGTTCTTGCCACGGGGAGAATGACT